GTGCTCCTCTCGGTTCCTACGCGCGGTCTGCCGTGCTCCTGTGAGGAGCACGGCAGACCACAGGAGCAAGGCAGACCACACAGGAGCACGGCAGACCACACCTCGATTTTTTGAGGATGTCTCGAGCGAAATGGCCGTGGTCTGCCGTGCTCCACACGGGAGCACGGCAGACCACCTGCTCATTTTCTGAGGACGTCCCGAGCGAAAACGTCTTTTTTGACATAAAAGGTTCTAAAACACCTCTGTCGGCATCTCATTTTTTCGAGGATGTCTCGAGCGAAACGCTCATTTTTCATGCATAACAAAAATTTTTGATATTTTTCAACATCCCGATTTTTTGAGGATGTCTCGAGCGAAACCGTCATTTTTGACATAAGACGTCTTAAACGATAGCCTCCAACACCTCGATTTTTCGAGGATGTCTCGAGCGAAATGGCCATTTTGGGGAATCCGCCAATGAAAAACGCCGTGCGATCCCGCAACCCATAGATATAAAGATATATATATATATATATATATATATATATATATTTACTCAAGGATTCAGCCAGAACGTCCCGCTTGCTTCTCGTACCTCGAAGACGCTTCCCGTCATCCGCCAATGAAAAATCCCGTGCGCCCGCGCAACCCATAGATATAAAGATATATATATATATATATATTTACTCAAGGATTCAGCCAGAACGTCCCGCTTGCTTCTCGTACCTCGAAGACGCTTCCCGTCATCCGCCAATGAAAACCCCCGTGCAATCGCGCAACCCATAGATATAAAGATATATATATATATATTTACTCAAGGATTCAGCCAGAACGTCCCGCTTGCTTCTCGTACCTCGAAGACGCTTCCCGTCATCCGCCAACGAAAACCCCCGTGCCGCGCAACCCATAGATATAAAGATATATATATATATATATATATACTCAAGGATTCAGCCAGAACGTCCCGCTTGCTTCTCGTACCTCGAAGACGCTTCCCGTCATCCGCCAACGAAAAATCCCGTGCAGCGCGGCAACCCATATAGTTAAAGATATATATTTACTCAAGGATTCAGCCAGAACGTCCCGCTTGCTTCTCGTACCTCGAAGACGCTTCCCGTCATCCCGTGCAGCGCGGCAACCCATATAGTTAAAGAAAAGATATATATTTACTCAAGGATTCAGCCAGAACGTCCCGCTTGCTTCTCGTACCTCGAAGACGCTTCCCGTCATCCGCCAGCGCAGTTTCCAAGTGCACCCCGTACCCGATTATTAATTTTTACCACCAACAAACGGTCCACGCCAGGGGCGCTTCCCGTCATCCGCCGCCGCGTTTGTGCGGCATTGGTTTGTTCAGTGAACGTGGTTTGGGTCGCGGGTTGGTCGCGGGCTCTCCACCTCCATCTGGAAGGAATGCAAAAGCAGCCCACCGCAGGCGCCGAAAAATTTGGTTTGTACACTGAACGTGGCTTGGGTCGCGGGTGGGCCGCGGGTTCTCCACCGGGAACGAATGCAAACAATGCCCGCCGCAGGCGCCGAAAAAATTGGTTTGTACCCTGAACGTGGTCGCGGGTGGGCCGCGGGCTCTTCACCTGAAACGAACGCAACAGATGCTCGCCGCAGCCGCCGAAAAATGTGGTTTGTACCCTGAACGTGGCTTGGGTCGCGGGTTGGTCGCGAGTTGGTCGCGGGGTGGGTCGCGGGCCCTCCACCTGGAAGGAATGCAAAAAAAGCCCGCCGCAGGCGCCGAAAATGATGGTCTGTACCTTGAACGTGGTTGGGGTCGAAGGTAGGTCGCGGGGTGGGTCGCGGGGTAGGTCGCGGGCTGGGTCGCGGGTGGGTCGCGGGTGGGTCGCGGGTGGGTCGCGGGTGGGTCGCGGAAAGGGTCGCGGGGTGGGTCGCGGGTGGGTCGCGGGGTGGGTCGCGGGTGGGTCGCGGAGTGGGTCGCGGAGTGGGTCGCGGGTGGGTCGCGGGGTGGGTCGCGGGGCGGGTTGCGGGGCGGGTTGCGGGTGGGACGACGACAACAAACAACAACAAACAACAACAAACAACAACAAACAACAACAACGAGAATCCGCACCGCGGAATCCCACTTCAGCCACGCACCCAGGGACAGTGAATGACCGTTCGGCCCCCTCACTCTGACCATGTAATACCATGCGCTCGCTCGCGAAGAAAAAAAACTCCTGTTCCCAAGTACCGTTTCCAAAACGACTGCAAACACACACGCGCATGCACCTGGCGAAACCATACCCAATACACAAGTTGTGCCATCATTGCCACCGTAACACGGATATATAACATACAAGGCTGAAGTGGCGCTTCGCGCCATGCACCTTGGTCCTTGAAGTTTGGCACGCAGGCGGGATGGCAGAACGGTCTAACTATATTTTAGCGATAACTCCTTGTTGCCTTGTCCAGCATCGCCGTTATACTTAGATGTTCTTGTTATCTTTCCTCCATACTTCATTTTCCTCGTTCTCGCCCTACCCTGCGAATTCTTCCCCACCCTCCTCAGCTCATTTTGCGGAGGCTCCTCCCTGGAGAACTTCTGGAGGCCTCACGGAAGTTTCACCAGCTTTCTTAAGGCCTTCTGGGGGAGCCCTGGGCGTCGTCTGGGCGCCTCTGGGGGCTTCCTCGGGCCACCTTGCCTCCAACCGCGGTTCCCCTGAACGACCGGGTCACGATTTGGAATGCTTCGGAGGGTGTCGTAGGGCCATCTTGGGCCGTTCTTAGGCCATCTTGGATTCCTGATGTGTCGTCTTCGGGCTCTCTTAGACTGTCTGGAAGCCCTTTCGGATGATTTCGGCGATTTTCAGGCCTTCCAGGCGGTCTCGGACGCCCTGAAGACCGAAGAACAGGGCATTTCCAAAATCATGCAAAAGCCTTTGAAACAAACATGTTTCTCTGCGTTTTGGAAGCCTCTTGGGGTATTATTTGGGTCGTTTTCGGGCGTCTGGTGGGTGTCTGAAGCCTCTTAGGGCCCTCGGGGTGGCGTTCGACCGCCGTCCTAACCGATTTAGGCCCGCTGCCTAGGCCCAGCAAGGGCTTCCAGGAGCTCTGAAACGCCTGGAGGGCTTCTGCAGGGGCGTCCAAGGGGTCCCCGGGGCCACGGATCCGGGGGGTCCAGAGGGTCCCGGGGGCCCTTGATTCTGGGGGTCCGATTTCGGAGGGGAAGTTCCAGGTAATACAAACACACGAATGAGGATAATAGATGTATGCGCATGTACATATATATATATATATATGTGTAAATGTATATACATATGCATATGTATGCGTGTGTGTATATGTTGATGTAGGTGTATATTTAACCGTATGTGTATATGTGTTTGCATGTGCGTTTGCATGTGAATTTGTATGTGCATACGTAATTATGTGTGGATTTGAATATGGATATGGATATGTGGTTGCATGTGTATGTGCACTTGGATGTGTATGTGTATGCATATATGTGATTATAGATGCAAAGGTAGATGTGCATGTATGTGTAGATGTCCTTGTGTGTTTGTGTAGGCGTATCTATATTATATATATATGTAAAAGCTGCATGTAGATACATATATGTGTATTGACATATGTATGTGTATAGATGTATGCATACATGATTACACATCTCTATATATGCACCTATACATACATACATGCATTCATACCTACATATACACATATCTTGTGTATATATACGTATATACATATAGGTCGCCCGCATACAGTATGTCAGATGTTCTGCCAGCGCGCACTTGTTGAACTCATTGGGGGAACCATTACAATATCTCAGCCATCTCGTCCGCAATCCGCATTCTCGTCCCGCCACGCGGCGCATCCGTGTTGATCTAGCATGCGCCCCGAAAACACAAATCCAGGTCGCCACACGCGCGCGCCGCCACGCGCGCCGAGATCTGTCCCAAACCACTGCCTCTCTGGAAGCAGCTCAAGATCTAGCTCGTCAAACCATATGAAACAACACACGTTTTGCAACGACAGGTGTGCCAGATTTCCTGAATGTACGCGAGCGCACATTTCATCACCGTCATCAGCACCAGTGCATTCCCGCAATCATCGTCAACGCCAATCACCGCCATTGCCGCCATCGTCATCACAATTACTTTCATCACCGACACATGGATATCATCATCACCAGCATCATCATCATCATCATCATCAGGATCCTCATCATCATCATCATCATCATCATCATCATCATCATCATCATCATCATCATCATCATCATCATCATCATCATCATCATCATCATCATCATCTTCATCTTCATCTTCATCATCATCATCTTCATCATCATCGCCATCGTCATCGTCGCCAGCATCGGCGCCGTCAGTGGCTTTGCCGTCGTCATCGGCATCATCGCCACCCCAGTCGCTGGTATCATCATCGTTGCCGCCGCTGTCAATGTCATCACGATATCGCGCCCGCCCGAGCCACCGACCCGCATTGGTGTGCCCGCGCGCTAGCGCGGCCTCCGAGACGCGCTGGGGAATTCCCACTGGTCAGCGCCATCGCCGCCCCACCAGTTGCGCCAAACCAGCTGTTGCTCTGCGCGTGAACGTGCGCGCGCAAGCGCGGCCGTAGAGACGCGCCAGCAAACTCCAATCGGGTGAGAGAGTGGGATGTTCGCGAGAGCATAGGAGTTGACAACTCATGAGTGGCAATATTAAACGCATCACGTTGTGTTCACCATATATGTTGCCCCACATACAGCGCACTACATAACTTGCACCACACAGATTGCTGCATCACATGACTCGCATCACGCAACCTTCGCCACGTAGTTCCCTCCTGTTCCTCCTGTGGCGTTTTTTGCCTTCTCCCTTCTTACTGCCGTCGCCTTCGGCCCACGCTGGAGCGGGGTTGTTCTGGAGCCCCCTGCTTCCCTGCAAGTACTCCGCACGCCAGAACACCCATGACCTCGCGCTCTCGTTGGGATCTTGAAAGAGGATGATGAGGAGGCGGGAATGCGGGAGGCGGGGTAGGGGGAGCGAGGGAGGATCGGAAAGCGAGTGGGTAGGAGACGGAGGGTGGGGGCGAAGGAGGAAATGGGACGGGAGAGGAAGCACCGCCTCCTCTCTTCCCTTCTCAGAACATCCCGGCGCGCGACCACCACCGCCAAAGGAGGAAGCGTGTCCTGCTGCATCTGCATCTCCTGAGCGCGCCACGGAGGAGAGCCTCTGGAGGGAGAGATCCGGGACAAGCGCCCGCGTTGCGCGAGGGGGCATCCCCCAGAGAGCCAACGACGGCGGGGCAGGGGAAGTGAGGCCAGGCGGCGCTCCCTCGGAGGATGGCAGCGTGCGGTCGGGGCGCGGGCTCGAAATCGACTGCGGAGCCGACCGCCGACGTCGGGTCGGGCGAAAGGGGGGGATATCGAAAGGGGGGGTCTGAGAATCAGCTCGCGTAGCCGACTTTCCCTGCGCCTCCCGGCGCCGGAAGGGGCCGATGTATCGAGGAATGGGCCCCTCGGCGAGGCCGAATCCAGCTGCACGCAGCAGATTTCGTAACCCCCCCCTTTTCCCGATCCCCCCCCCCCCCTCGTCCGGCGCGACGACGATACACGGCCGATGAACCCATCCAAAAGGAGCCCTGCGCAGAACAGTGGGCACGCCACTGCTCAACGGGATGGTCTGAAGGGGAGTTGGAACACACACATAGATACACACAAATAAAAATACTCCCCATATTTTCCTATATTTTCTGGGTTTTTGTCTTCCCCCCCACTGCCCATATTTTCCTATAGTTTCTGGGAATCGCCGATCAATTGTGTCTGTGTGTTTTTCCCCCTCCTGATGGTCGTCGAGCTCGTCCGTCCTGGCGCGCCGCGCTGCACGAGCTGCCGCGTAGCCTCGCGCGCCCGCGCGAGCCCCCTGGAGAGGAGCAGCTCCCTGGCCCAGGGGTGGGCACGCAGCGGTCATCTTTGAAGGGGCCCCGGGACACACAAATAAATACACACAAATAAAATAATTCCCCATATTTTCGCATATTTTCTGGCTTTTTGTCTTCCCCCCCACTTCCCATATTTTCCCATATTTTCCTGGGAATCGACGATTAATTGTGTCTGTGTGTTTCTTTCCCTCCTGAATGGTCATCTTTGAATGGGCCCTGGGACACACAAACAAATAGGCACAAACAACAGGATCCCCTTACAGTTTCCCACATTTTCTGGGCTTTTTTGTCTTCCCCCCCACGTCCCATATGTTTCGATATCTTCTCGGAAATCCGCGATTCATGGTGTCTGTTTTTTCCCTCCTGAATCTTGGGTGTGGCCATCCACCCTGAAACCAGGGGATGCGAGAATGCGTGGTGGCATTATGCTGTTCCTCGTGACTGGACCTGGCTGCCTATGCACATGCACCACAAAGAATGCGTGCACATGCACATGCTTGTGTGTGCGGGTGTGTACGTATGTATGTTTCTGTATCTGTACTGGAACCACGCGCACGCTTCGCGCGCGCTCAGGTTCTAGCCGGTCTGAAGACTGTTTCAGCAAGCACAAGACCGATTATGTGGCGTCTTCCCAAATATCCTAGACCCGATCACCCTAATCCGAACAACCTAACTAGAATGCCTGAACCTGAGCAAACGAAAACCCGCACACTGTAACCCTACCCCCAACTCCGAAACTCTTACACCCGAACCCTGACACCCTAAACCTAACACTCGGATCCCAGCATCCAAAACCGAACACCCTAGCCCAAACACCGAACATCAGCACAAGAGCCCGAAAGCCCTAACCCTGCACCCGAACACCCGAACACCCCAACAATATCACCCTAACCCAAACCCCTGAACCCGAACATTCGAACCCTAACACCCTTACCCTGACACCGTAACACCGTAACACCGGAACACCGTAACACCTTAGCACCCGAACCCTAACACCGAATACCCGAGCCTTGAAGCCCGAACCCTCACGACTCGACGCCCTGACCCAAACACCCTAGGCCTGGCACCCTGGCCCTCACACCCCAACTCTGACACCCTGGCCCTAACACCGGAACCCTAGCCCCCGAGCCCGAACATCCGAAGATACCAAACAGAACACCCTAAGCCGAACACCCCAACCCTGGCACCCGAACGCCCTGACCAAAGCACCCTGAGCCGAACATCCAAACCCGCACGCCCCGACCGTGACTCTGACACCGCAAACGCTAACATCCGAACCGGAACACCCCAGCCCGAGCCTCCCGACTGGCACTCTGAGCCTCGACACAAGATCTCTAATTAAGCCTCCGGCGCGAATCCCAACACACGAACCCGAACACCGTGACCCGAACACCGTGGGCGCCAAGGGGGACCCTGATCCGCTCTGGGGCCTTCTTGGGGCTCCCCAGGGCAAGGCTGGAGACCATCTTGTGCCATCTGGGGGTCCACCTTGCCTTGCCCTGCCACATCGGGCACTTTGAGACGAAGCCAGTAGGAAGATACATTCGGCTGAGGATAAATCAAGAATCTCCGAGATCCGGCTGCTCTGGAAGACATGTCGGGCGTCGCGGACTTCTCAGAGCGTTCCGAAACGCTCTGAGAGCGTTCCGGAACGCTCTGGAACGGATTTATCCTCGTCCTAGCCCCGTCCGACCTTTCCCGGTGGAAGATGGGACCGCTGGCGCACTCGGAGCACGACTTCCGGCGCAAGGAGGGACTGCCCGCTACAACAGGAAATGTCGGGCTCTGGCTTCGTACGCCCCCATCGTTCAGGGAATTCCTTTTCGTCTCTACGGCCAGGGACCCGACAAGTATCGCCCCGTGAATCAAGCAATTCCCTTTGCTTGCTTAGGCCTCCAAAACGGCCACCCAAGATCATTCCGTCCCTGTGCTCAGGCGGCCACGAAAACCCTGAGAGGCCCCCCAAAGAAATCACAAAAGCCAAAAAGGGGCCTTCGAGGAAGCTCCCAGGACGGCGTGAGACTCCTGCGCCCACCGCAACCGGCTCGGCACAACCCTAACACGTTTCGTGGCCCCACAAGGAGCTCCACCGAACGCCCCAGTGGCTGCGTTCGCATGCGCCCACCGCACCCTTGCCGGCACACCCCTTACACCTTTCGTGGCCCCGTAGCCCCAGTGGCTGCGTTCGCATGCGCCCACCGCACCCATTTCGGCACACCCCTCACACGCTTCATGGCCCCATAGGGGGTTCCACCGAAGGCATCAGTGGCTGCGTTCGCATGCGCCTACCGCACCCTTGCCCGCACACCCCTCACACGTTTCGTGGCCCCGTAGCCCCAGCGGCTGCGTTCGCATGCGCCTACCGCACCCTTGCCGGCACACCCCTCACACGCTTCGTGGCCCCGTAGCCCCAGCGGCTGCGTTCGCATGCGCCTACCGCACCCTTGCCGGCACACCCCTCACACGTTTCGTGGCCCCGTAGCCCCAGTGGCTGCGTTCGCATGCGCCCACCGCACCCATTTCGGCACACCCATCACACGCTTCGTGGCCCCATAGGGGGCTCCACCGAAGGCATCAGTGGCTGCGTTCACATGCGCCCACCGCGCCCAATTTGGCACACCCATCACACGCTTCGTGGCCCCATAAGGAGCTCCACCGTGCGTTCGCATGCGCCCACCGTACCCTTGACACCCCTCACACGCTGCACGCATATTGGCACATCCCTCACACGCTTCGTGCCGTCATAAGGAGCTCCACCGCAGGCCCCAGTGGCTGTGTTTGCGTGCGCCCACCGTATCGATGTCAGCACATCCCTCACACGTTTCGTGGCCCCAGAGGGAGCATCACCGAAGGCAACAGTGGCTGCGTTCACATGCGCCCACCGCGCCAACACCTCTCGCACGCTTCGTGGCCCCATAGGGAGCTCCACCACAGACGGTACTCACAACTGCATCTGCCTGGGTCCCACCGAGAGCCTCAGCGGCAGGGTCCGCATGGCGGCCCCGCACCCATTTCGGCACACCTCTCACACGCTCCCCCCCTTCGTCCCACACTGCCGAGCGGCACTCGCGCCCGCACATGGTTGGGTCCTTCGCCCGGATAACCCGGAGAAGCAATTAAGGAACCCCCCGGCGTTATCATTAGCACCGCGCCGTAATTAAATAATTATTTGGGGGGGGGTTCGCCGAGCGATATTATTAGCACCGCGCAAATGGAAGGAAAATAAATAATTCCAGCGCCCCGCCTCGGGTGGCATCCCAATTAGAATTGTAATGATAATAAAAATACGAATACGAATAAGGAAAACGCTTCCGGGTGCCAGGATAACGCTTCCGGGTGCCGGGTGCGTTATCCTTTCACCGGAGAGGGGGGGGGGTCCTTAATCGCTTACTCGGGTTAACTTCTTCTCTTTTTTGGGGGGGGAGGGCGCGAGCGGCTAGGGCGCCCAAGATGGCCCAAGATGGCTCCAAGAGGGCATCCGATGCTCTAAGATGGCCTCCAGGGCGGCTCAAGATAGCCGAAGATGGTTCAAGATAACTTGCGGCATACCTCCAAGAGGCCTGGCGAGAGCCACAAAACGGCTCCGAGTGCTCTCGGAGCCCCCTCAGGACCCCCCAAGAGGCCCAAATCCACAAAAAAACCAAGGAGCAGCAATGATGTTTGCCTTCTCGCCGTTTCGATTTCGATGCGCTTATGAGGCCCGAAGCGGCCCAAGATGGCAGCCAGGAGCCTAAGAGGCCCCCCAGACGACCCCAACCGCGCCTCAGAGCGCCCCAAGAGAGCCCCCGCAGGCGCATTCGAGTGCCACAGAGCGGGGAGGCAAATCGGGGACCCCGGCTCCTCTGATCGATAGCCTCCAAGATGGCCTCAATAGGCCCTCCATTGAGGGATGAAAAAACGCCCCTGCCCTGGGTTACGAGCGCGTGGTGTGCAAACCTCCTGGGAGCTCCAAGAAGCCAGGAAGCCGCCAGGACGCCGCGCGACACGCGGGATACGCAGGGTCTACCCTGTCAGCCCACAGGAGGTTCAGCGCACAGCGCCTCGTAAACCAGGGTAGGGGCGTTCTTCAAGCCTTGGACTCCAGGGCTCCCACGAGGGCCCCGAGAGGGCACCGAGAGAGCTCCACGAGGGCCCCCAGGACGGCCCCAGGCGGCCCCAAGAGCGTCCCAAGAGCGCCCCAAGCACGTCCCACGAGGGCCCCAAGGGGCGGTGTGCCACCTCGGCCTCCCGCGGGTCCCAGGGATGGCCCAGAGAGGCCCTCGAAGGCCACACCCTTGCTCCCAGAGATCTCTCTGTGCATCCTGGTTGCCCGCCTTGCTTCACTGTATGTGCTTCTTTGCTCCCTGTCCCGTCAACTCTCATGGGCAGGGCTTCTGAAAGGGGTGGTGGAGATGCACGCAGCGTGAATCGTGACACTGCAGTGTTCTCCGCCACTCTCGGGTCGGGCGAAAAGGGGGGATAGCAAAGGGGGGGTTTGAGAATCAGCTCACGTAGCTGATTTTCCAGGCGCCTCCCAGCGCCGGAGGCGGCTATGTATCAAGGAATGGGCCCCTCGGTGAGGCCGAAACCAGCTGCATGCAGCAGATTTCGTAACCCCCCCTTTCCCAATCCCCCCCTTTCGTCCGGCCCGACACTCATGGGCCTCGTGGAGTGCCCTCGCCGCCACTGCTAGATCCGCGACGAAGTTCTGGTCGGAGCGCGCCCCAGGACAGGCGCGGAAGTCCGACTTTCCCCAATCAGAGCTTGCCTGTGCCCGGGTGCCCGGGTGCCCGGGTTCGCCGCCGATTCGGTGGCCGGGCCCGGGTGCCCGGATGCCCGGGTGCCCGGGTGACGGGTGCCCCGGTGGGTGCCCGGGTGCCGGGTGCCCGGGTGCCCGGTGCCCTGTAGCCCTATAGTCTTATAGCCCTATATCCCTATCGCCCTACAGCCCTACAGCCCTATAGCCCTATAACCCATGTAGCCATACAGCCAGATAGCCCACATAGCGCCCAAGAGCCCATATAGCCCTGTAGCCCTGTAGCCCTACAGCCCTAAAAAGATCATGATTGGGTTTTTTCTCTGGTATCATTTTGAGGAGGACGGCGACGATGTCAACGGCGAGGAGGAGGAGGAGGAGGAGGCGGCGGACGCAGATGGGACGGGGGAGGAGGCAGGAGGGGCAGCAACTCGAGGGCTCGGGAGCATCACTCAGCTCTGATCCACCACCGTGTCGCGCGGCAAGTGTCCGCCGCTCTGGACCCGGTCCGCGATTTCGTTCTCGCGTGGCCCGCGTGGGGCGTGGACTGATGGTGGGCGCTAAATGGTCGATGATCCTCAGAACGCGTGTTAGCGCCAACGTGCGTTTGGCCACCGAGGCCCTTCAGTACGACGCAGGCGGCACAGCGAGGCCAGACGCGGGCTGCGCGCTGTCGTCGGAGCCGAACGGGGTAAAGGCAGGCTTGGGGTAACACACGTCCTGAGGACCACAGCGGGGGGGGGATGAGGAGGAGGAGGAGGAGGAGGAGGAGGAGGAGGAGGAGGAGGAGGAGGAGGAGGAGGAGGAGGAGGAGGAGGAGGAGGAGGAGGAGGGAGGAGGAGGGGGGATGGGGGGGGGGAAAGAGCGGCGCACTCCTCGGGCCGCGACGGCCCCCTTGTTGGGCCCCAGAGGGCCCCTGGCAGGGGCCATGAAGGGCGGCCCCTTCTCTGCAGCCCTCGCTGCCCCCCACTTATCGCCCCCCCCTCATGCGACGCCCAGCCGAGGCCTTCCGAACGCTCTCCGGAAGCGCTCGCAGGTCTTCGTCCTCATCCTCATCCTCATCCTCATCCTCATCCTCCTCATCATGCTCCTGATCATCCTCATTTCCATCCTCATCCTCATAATCACAAACACCATCACTGCTCCCTCCAATTATTCCTCCTCACTCCTGACTCATCCTCTCTCGTCGTCGCCGTCGCCGTCGTCGTCGTCACCATCACCATCACCATCATCATCATCATCATCATCATCATCATCATCATCATCATCATCATCATCATCATCATCATCATCATCACATCATCATCATCATCATCATCATCATCATCATCATCATCATCAGCAGCAGCAGCAGCATCAGCATCATCATTATCATTATCATTATCATCATCATCATCATCATCATCATCATCATCATCATCATCCATCTCATTCATCATCATCATCAGCAGCAGCAGCATCATCATACTTCTCCTCTTCCTCCTCACCACCGCCACCATCACCATCACCATCACCATCACCATCACCAACACCATCACCATCACCATCATCATCATCAGCATCAGCATCAGCATCAGCATCAGCATCAGCATCAGCATCATCATCATCATCATCATCATCATCATCATCATCATCATCATCATCATCATCATCATCTCCATCCTCATCCTCATCCTCATCCTCATCCTCATCCTTATCCTCATCCTCATCATCATATTCTTATTCGTATTCATGCTCATATTCGTCATCAGCACCAGCACCAGCACCAGCACCAACACCACCAACATCATCATCATCAGCATCAGCATCATTATCATCACCATCATCATCATCATCATCATCGTCATCATCAGTATCGTCATCATCATCATCATCATCATCATCATCATCATCATCATCATCATCAGCATCAGCATCAGCATCAGCATCAGCATCAGCATCAGCATCATCATCATCATCATCATCATCATCATCATCATCATCATCATCATCAGCACCATCATCAACATCATCACCACCACCACTGCTCCCTCACATCATCCCGCCTCTCTCCCCACGCGCCCTCTCTCCGCCTCCTCGGCCTCATCGCCATCATCCCCAGTCCTTCCCAGGTAATTAGTCGTGGACCTGGTCAGGCCCGCCTGCGGCTCCGCGCGGCATCCTCCAACAAAACGCGTCGGGCCAGGAGGAGGAGGAGGAGGAGGAGGAGGAAGAGGAGGGGGAGAAGGTGCTGCGGGACCCGTTCTGCCCCCCCCCCCCCCCACCTTTGGCGTAACAGGATGGCGATGGGCACCCATCGTCCCTCTGCTGCCTCCTTCCCCCGCCACGGTACGGCCAGGAAGCTGAACAGCGAGGGGGGCGGGAGGAGGGCAGGGCGAGGGCCTGACGGAGGAGGCGAGGGAGGAGGAAGAGACAGGGACGAAGGCGGAGAGGACGAGGAGGAGGAGGAGGAGGAGGAAGATAAGGAGGAGGAGGAGGAGGAGGAGGAGGAGGGAGGAGGAGTAGGAGGAGGAGGAGGAGGAGAGGAGTAAGATGAGAAAGAGGAGGAGGAGGAGGAAGAGAAGGACGAGGAGGAGGAGGAGGAGGAGGAGGAGGAGGAGGAGGAGGAGGAGGGTAAGGAAGAGGAGAGGGCGCCGACGACGAGGTCCCCAGAAGTCCCCCCCCTGCCCGCAGACTCCCATCGAAGTTCGACTGCGACAGTGCAGCGAGCGACAAGCTGCGCTGGGCTCCTCGCCCATTCCGCCACACATGCCCATGCCACAACCCATTCCACCGCCCATTCCGCCACACAGTCCGCCGCCCATTCCGCCACACATGCCGCAACCAGAGCAGCCGCAACCGCCACAGCCGCCGCAACCGCAACAACCAGAGCCGCCACAACCACCGCAACTGCCACAACCGCCGCAACCGCCACAACCGCCTATACCGCCCATGCCGCCGCCCATTCCGCCACACATGCCGCCGCTAGAGCCGCCGCAGCCGCCACAACCGCCGCAACCGCAGCAGCCAGAGCTGCCACAGCCACCGCAGCCGCCGCAGCCGCCACAACCGCCCATACCGCCCATGCCGCCGCCCATGCCGCCGCCCATGCCACCGCCCATGCCGCCGCCCATGCCGCCGCCCATACCGCCGCCACAACCGCCTCCCACGCCGCCGCCCATACCGCAACCCATACCGCCGCCCATGCCGCCGCCCATGCCGCTGCTCATGCCGCCGACCATGCCGCCGCCCATGTTGCCCGCCATGCCGCATCCGTTTCCGCCGCCGCAGGACATCATATTCCCACAGCCGCCTGCGCTGAGTGAGGCTCAGGAGGAGTCTAGATCAATACAAGAGGTCCGACTGGGAGAGCAATGACGCAACTGCAGGAAATCGGCGACGAGCGCACGAACCTGGACGCATTCCCCATTCAAATCAAGTGCACCACGCAGCATCAACGCGTACATCTGAAAGACAGGCTGCAACGCGGTGCGCTCGAACATCAGGATGCAACATGACAGCGAACAAGAAACATTTGAACATGGATTTGGGGAACTCGTTGCAGGTTGGAATCATATATCGGGGATGGACAGAACCCCCTTTAGCAAAACGTGGTTTAGTGAAAACGACGTCGGGCCCAAACCTGGGAAATGACGGCCGCGGCGCCTTCTCGAGAACCGAAAACGGACAATTCACTAATCGACGTGTCAGAATGGGGCTCTGCCCACCCCCGAATATAGTAATGGAGCAGGGTGATGGATGGGAGAGGAGGAACATAAGAGAGAGGACCGGACCAGGCAGAGCCAAAGAGGACGAGGAGGGACAAAGACGATCGAAGCACATGGATTATCCCAGCAATGCAGAAGACACAGATGAGGAAAATAACGGACATCGGGATGATGATGATGATGCTGCTGATGATGATGCTGATGATGATGTTGATCATGGTTAATGATTATGATGATGATGATGATGATGATGATGATGATGATGATGATGATGATGATGATGATGATGATGATGATGATGATGATGATGATGATAATGATAATGCTGATGACGCTGACGGCGATGACAAGGAGGAGGAAGAGGGCAAGGAGGAAGAGGAGGTGGAGGAAGAGGGAGGAGGATGCAGGAAGGAAGACGAGGGACCTGTGCTGAAAAGGGAAATAGGGAGGAGGAGGGAGGATAGGGGAGCAGGACGAGGACGAGGAGGGTCGCGGATATTGGAAGCGGCTTCGTTTCACTCCCGCCGACCTTCCGCCGCCTTCCGCGGCGGAAGAGATGACAGATCCTTCGATCATCCAAGGCAAGTCCTTTTCTGGAACGCCCCACATACCACAAGTTGGGCGCCCGAGTTATCCGGGGTAACTCGGGTCCGGGATAACTCGGGTTCGGACTCCCGAAAAAGGAACCCGAGTTAGCCCTGACCCGAGTTACCCCTGATGATTCGGGGCTCTGGACGCCCGAGTTATCCGGGGTAACTCGGGTCCGGGATAACTCGGGTTCGGACTCCCGAAAAACGAACCCGAGTTAGCCCTGACCCGAGTTACCCCTGATGATTCGGGGCTCTGGGCGCCCGAGTTATCCGGGGTAACTCGGAGTCCTGACCCGAGACCCCTGATGACTCCGGGGTAACTCGGGTCCGGGATAACTCGGGTTCGGACTCCCGAAAAACGAACCCGAGTTAGCCCTGACCCGAGTTACCCCTGATGATTCGGGGCTCTGGGCGCCCGAGTTATCCGGGGTAACTCGGGTCTGGGATAACTCGGGTTCGGACTCCCGAAAAACGAAACCGAGTTAGCCCTGACCCGAGTTACCCCTGATGATTCGGGGCTCTGAACAAGCACCTTGTAGCAAATCCTTTCCCGAACGGCGTGGCCAGAAAGCGCCCACCACGGAACTTCTGCCACACGATGTTTCGGCGCGCGCGTCGCCCTCTGGGGGGGGGGACGGGCACATAGCATTAGTACACCCTGCGAAATGCTTAAGAAATCATGGGTTAAGAAATTCATAGTCTCAGAACTTCAATAAAAAACCAACATTTCTATTAAAATCTTAGGATTTACATTGAAACGTTAAGAATAATCGAGACTCTGGCCGAAAACTTGGGTTTTCTTAAGCATCGCCTAAGGTGTATGCTGGGGTGGCGCCGAAAGAAGGCCTCTTGGGAGCGTCTTAGGCCGCCAGAAAGCCACACAAGAAAGACGGAGCCCCAACGAGAAGGGTCCACGAAAGCGAAGGTGGTCACCCATGCTGCGAAACGAAGCCCGAACGACAACTCTCCACGAAATCGCCAAAACACCGTTCAGGTCGAGCCCTACGCTGGGGTAGGGCTCGACCTAAACAGCGTTCTTCGTTCTCGCGTTGTTGTGTGAACGGTTTCTTGTTCGGTGTTCGACATTGGGCGGAAGGGGGGAGGGGAGGGGACTGGCTCTGGACCTCTGCTTAATGCGACTGTTTGCAACAGTGCGTCCTACGGGGGAGACTCCACCTGCTTAAACCAGGCGCCGCAAACAGCCAAAATTTACTGCATAGGGGGGGGGAAGGGTGCGAGGGCCCGCGACGATCGGCAGAGCAATGAATAAGGAAACGACGGTCGCTTCTTCTTGTTTTGTCCCCTCGGTCATCTCACTTCGCGCATCGCGCCACGCGATGCGCGACGTGCGGCTACACTCGCACCCTGGGCGCCGCCGCCCAGGAGAAGGGCGTTTCTCCCACCCAAGCCGCGATGCGCGAAGCGCGATCACCTTCGCGCCCCCAAGGGGGGCCTCGGTCTTGGGCTGCAGGAAGCCACAAGCCCAGACCTCTCCGACGATATGACTTTTGTCTCAACCTGGACGCCTCCTAAATGGGGTCGGAATAGATGGGGTCGGAGGATCGTGCCGCATCGGCGATACGTCAGCGATGCATCGATCATTTTTTTGGAAGGGGGAAGATGAGAGCGGACACAACGCCTGTGCACGAAGATGCGCATCGGCTGCTCAAAGTCCTGGCCCAAGCCAGAGGTGAAGACCAACCGGCCGCACGAAGAGGAGAGAGGAGAAAGAGGCGGAAACAGGAGGCGAAGACGGGGTGGAGCAGGAGGGAGACTCACGGCCCCAAGATGGGGTTCAAACTAACGCGCACTACGAAGCTCCGTGAACTTTAGCGCAAACCTACACGCCCTCGAAAACCGAGCGGCCAAGCGGCTGCACGATTAGATGAAGTGACGCAACCAAGTAGAGAGGACAAAAACGACCAAGTGATTCGACGAAGTGGCACAACCAAGTGAAGGCCCGTGACAAAACAACGACCCAAAGTACGGGAGAAACAACTAAGGAAACACATGCGAGGCGAGTCGCCAGACCGGAGCCAGAGCCACGCAGACACTACGACCACTAGCTTACACTGGCAACGAAAATGTGGACGCCCAAGCCCGCCCGGCGGCAATCGCCGCGTGCCCTCCCAGGCCGCGGCCGAGCCACCGGCCACTCATAAAGCGAACCGCCCAAGCGGGCTCGAAAACAGTGGCCAATTGAGAGGAACGAGGGGGAGCCGGAAGAGGAGGACGGAGAGGAGCGCGCACAGGTTCGACTCCGGCCGAGCCCAGGGCAAACACCCTACGACAATCCATCGGCCACGCGGCCGGGACAGCCGCAGGCCCGCCGGCCCGGACTTCACGACGTGCACGGCAGGAGCGAGAAAGCAGGCAGAGGAGGCGAAGAGCCGGCCCACCCCTCTGGGGCTAGAGCCGGCGCTCCGCCTCCTGGGAGGCGAGGCGAGAGGCGAGCGCGGGGAGGAAGAGGGCGCCCGAGTTATCCGGGGTAACTCGGGTCCGGGGTAACTCGGGTTTGGATTCCCGAAAAAGGAACCCGAGTTATCCCTGACCCGAGTTACCCCTGATGATTCGGGGCTCTGAGAGCTCGCGGCATTCGCAGGCGGGGCCCTGCGCTGAGCCGTCGACGATTGCCTTGCGCATGATCCGCCGCCGCACCGCCGATGGGGCATAGGGCCACCCGCGACAGCTATTGCCCGGGGGTCCCGCGCGAACTATATTGACGTACAATGCTAAAGGGAAATTAGGACACGCAAATAAATACACACAAATAAAAATATCCCCCATATTTTCCTATATTTTCTGGGTTTTTGTCTTCCCCACCACTTCCCATATTTTCCCATATTTTCTGGGGAATCGAGGATTAATTGTGTCTGTGTGTTTCTTTCCCTCCTGATATATTGACGTACAGTGCTGCCGCCCCAGGGTGCCATCAAACCAGCGGGGAAAATGACCACATTTTGTTGCGAGCGGGTTCTTTTTTCGGCACTGGCGAAAAAAACAGGAGGCCACCGATTGCGAAAGCCGTCGCCCGCGCCCTCCGAACCAAGTTTCCGGCACCGAAAGACTGCACCTCCGTTGAAACAGCCCGCAAAACGGCAAGGCGAAGTACTTAACATTACAACGCGGGGCCGGCCAAGGCGGAGCACGTACGCCGCTGTTCGGACTACGCAGACGAACAGGAATAGGAGGAGGAGGAGGAGGAGGAGGAGGAGAAGGAGGAGGAGGAGGAAGCGGAGGAAGGGGAGGGGGGACGGGCGAGGGACACCCCGCTGCTCGGAATTACTCGGGGCGCGGCCGCTTGAAGGCGGCGGCAACCAGGCACACGGCCTTCCCATGGCCGCGGGTGGGCCCCCCGCAAAAATACCATTAAACAGCGCAGCGCACTCTGCAGAGCGCGCGAAATGTCTGGCTGCGTCGTGCGTCCTGTAGAGCGCGTAGACTGCAGTGGCTCTGGCCGCCGCCGCTGAAGCTGCATCGGCATACGGGGCCGCGGCATGCGGGGCAATGCCCAGGAAGTCGTCGAGACAACGTGCAGGCGGCGGCTTGCACAGGCTCAGCTTCCGAGCGCAATGAAGCACGACAGCAGCGACAGAGAGCGCAGTGCTCGATGCCGTCCTCGGCCCTGCAGCCGAAGATGCACCGGCCACTGCGCGCGGATGTGGCACGCCTGCACGCGCGGCGGCAGCCATGCCGACGCGGCACGCAGCTGCGGCTGGGCAGCGTGCGGGTCCGACGTGCCGACGGGCACGTAGCGTTGTGGATGCCACGACAATGGACACCCTAACAGTCCTATCATCGAATTTACAATGTGTGAAAAATGTCGGAAATGTTCTAAGCATGTTCTAGACTCGTTTTTTACATGCTTCTAATCTGTTCAACACATGGTTTAGACACCTGGAAGTTATTTGACAACACGCTTCCTCTCCATTGATCGTCCTCCACAAACGTAGCGCGACAGGTAGCTGTGACCAGGCTGCGGGCGGGCAGCGGGC